AGGAGGAGGTTTTTTATTGTCTATGACGAGTTTCAACTGGATATATGGAAAATGTCAATTAACACCTTTTTAGGTGGTCAACAGTGCAACTGTGCTCCTGCTGCAGCAAATTGTCCACGAGGTCCACCTGGTCCTCCTGGACAGGCTGGAGAGCCGGGATGTAAGTTTGAGAACTTTTGTAAAAGTCGAGCATAATGCTCAACTTTTTTAGCCGATGGACAACCCGGTCCCAATGGTCAGAATGGAACACCCGGAATGGATCAAATGCAGGATACCTTTAAGCTAAAGGAATGCATAAAATGTCCTGCTGGACCACCAGGACCACCAGGTCCAAACGGTAATGGAGGTCCTCCTGGACCTCCGGGAGCACCGGGCAAAGATGGTCTCGCAGGACCTCCAGGACCGCCTGGACCTCCTGGCCCAGCTGGAGATCAAGGACCGAATGGAAATCCTGGGGCACCCGGCGCACCTGGAAGTCCAGGAGCAATGGCAGAGAATCACCTGCCAGGACCTCCTGGCCCCGTTGGACCACGCGGCCCACAAGGACCACGTGGCCAGGACGGCGCTCCTGGACATGATCCAGGTATAGTTGAATTTTTAAAACTTATTTAGGAGTAACCAAAAAATTTAACGCTTTTGGGAACTGCTCTTCAACATCAAATTTCAGGACCTGGAGCTATGGGACCTATGGGACCAGGAGGACTTGCTGGTAAAGGTGGTATTGATGGCACACCAGGCGAGAACGGCAGAGATGGAGTCGATGGCACTCCAGGACCGGATGCGGCCTACTGCCCTTGTCCTCCCCGCACTTCCACATTTGGTTTTCGCGAATAAGGAGTTCATGAGTCCGAGGACCGTTTGAAAAGGCAACTTTTTAGAAATAAATCTTTGAGGGCAAGAAAGAGGGAAAAAGATTTGGAAGAAAAACACAACATTTGTCTTTTGTTAAGAATAGGTAGCCCAGAATTGCTATCCCTCTCTTCGAAGAGAAGATCCCAGTATGATGCAGATTTTCGCTCTCTACTTTTTCATGATTCAACTTTCGAGCCATAGGTCCATCACCAAGAATTTGCAATTCAACTTTTACTCTTCTTTGAGTATAGCTTTGGATCTTAACCTACACTTCAACGATCCAAGGTTTGAGAAAAAAATTACGATAAATTTTGAATTTGTAGATGTAACTGTATATTAGCTTACCGATGGCTGTATCTGCTTAGGACTTTTTATGGTGTCAAAAGCAGCTGTACAAGTTCTGGGAATTTTGGAAGTTTGCAATTTTTGAAAGTTCCTTCATCTCAATATAAAGAGAAATAAATGCAAAGATGCACGAAATTGGAAAATGGGCTATCGAAAGGAAATAAAATAAAACAAATTTAAAATATCATCAATTTAGAAATTGCCTACTATCTATGCCATCCCCATTGTTAGTAGCAATCACCGATTGCTAGAATAAAAAGGAACAAGGAAAAGATCGTAAAATTGATGCTATAAATATATTTTTATAGAGTACAATTAACCAAACTTCTAGGGAAATACTGAAAATGTAAATATATGTTATAATATTAAAATATTAATAAAAGACGAATCGATCTTGCATGCTTTGGAGTTACGAGGGTTTTGCTCGTCTATGTTCGTTTCCAATTTACGCTGGAATCTGGACATTAATTATCAAAAGCCAATATTCAAATTTTTCGGATATCTTAGACCCATATCGCGTTTTACTCTACGATTTCGCCTCAAGTCCAACTCAAGGCAATCATCACAAATCAATTCCGTCTCGCCTCCAAAGCACACCTAAGTATTATGCAATTCGTTACTATCACCAAATATGGATGCTGACAAGAACGTATTGCGAACTATCAAAGAGGAAATTGTAAGGCGTAAAAGTTGCGGTTAAATTCAAACTGAATTCAAGAAGTTACAGTTCTGTTCAGAAGAACATTCAAATACTTATTTGCGATAAATTATTCGTGTTTATCTCCCACAACTTAGGAGTCACTTAAATCTCGCATTTGTAACCCTGTAGTTTTTGTTTTTCTTTTTGAACACCTATATAAAGTTAGAGAGAAGACTGAATTGCATCACACAACCGCTGCACAAGAGATTATGTTAAGATTAATCTGGACCTCCTCGCGAAAAAAGCTTAAGCCAAGGAATTCCTAGTTTCCCGTCTTAGCAAAATTTTTACGAAACTCCCTAAAATTAGGATTTTTGTGATGATTTTGCTAAGACGTGAATATTCATATTAGCAGTTCATTAATAATAGGCGGTTTTGAAATTTATCTGTACATATCTCGGGGATTCAACATTGTTTCAATGAATCTTAAAAATTGTATTTTCATAACATGGATAGCTTTAAGAGCATGTTTCAATGTTCTTCCGAAGTATCCTTGTGGCAATTACGCTTTTTCGATGTATCCATTCTCGTTTGAAAAGAAACACTAATCAAGAGCCCGAAAGAGCCTTGCTGAACAAAAGAATTTGGGTTCTACTCGGAAGAGGAAGTATTGGTAAACCTAAAGCAAAACTATTCTCTTTTTAACCAAAGTGGGTTACTAAATATCATAGGCCTTCATCAAAACTGGTAACAGTCGTTACTTCAAGCATTCTTTCGAGTGCATTGGGTAGAATTAAAAAACCACGGTGCTAAAATCGGAACTACCGGATTACATGGTAACATTCATGAATCCAATGCATAGTCGAGCCACATCTAAGTGAACAAATTGTATCAAAGAAAATACTAGTGTAAATAATTTGGAGCTCATATACGCTCCAAATTATTTACACTCGTATTGCCTGTGGTGAAAACATGGCACGGCCCTGGCAAGGCACTGGGGGAGACTATTTATTGCCCTAACAGCATGTAATAGGAAAAGAAGCCCTGTACACTGGATCACATCTGCGGCGTCAGATGTCATCAAGACCAGTGTCAGGTTGCACACCATGTTTCGAACCAAAAGGACACGTCAACGACTCGCCATGGAGATTATCTCATGCTCTGCACCTACAACGCCAGGACAGT